GGGTTCTTTTGGCGGAGCTTGGAATTCTAGTGGTGGAAACGATTGGATGAAGTGTTGGAGGAATGGATCTCGGGTGAAGATTGTCGTGGAGAAAAGGAGAACCAAAATTTAGAAAAGAAAATAATAAGATAACACGAACCACGAGTCGAGGACGCTTCCAACGACTGGTGGGTATTGCAAACGCTCACCTTGAGCTCAATCACCCTTCTCTAGCCCTCATGCAAGAAGAAGAAGATAACATAAAATTTCATTCAAATATTCATTAACCTCATACAATGATACATGACCCCTATATATAGGTCATGAGATACAAGAAAATAAAAGCATAAATAATGACTAAATCGCCCTCGGGGCCCCAACATGACTCACTCACACACAAGGGTAAAACAGGAATACTGAAAACTGAAAATGCATGAATAACTAAAAATATAAGCTCTGAATCGTGGCCATCGATCGGCGATGCTTCCGGCGAAATACGTGTCTGAACCGTTGATCGATGACCTCATCAGTTTGTGCAAGTGTGAGATAAGAGATTGCAAGAAAATGGACCATGTTCTTCAATATTTCGACTTCCTTTTTAGGTTTGCTTGATTACCTTTGGACCTAATTTATTTATCATTATAAATAGGTCATGTCATTGCTTTCAAAAATTTTAAGCACAATAAGATGTACTAGGGTTTTTACTAACTACTATGTTGCATGGATACGCCTATTTATGAGGCTTGCTGTATCGGACACGTGTCGGATACGGATACGCCTCCGATACGGCACGGATACATGCCGAATACGGCTTTACCGTGTCCAATTAAATTTGATCGGACACACATATCGCTTGTTACTCGGTACTGCTCAGTGCTGCTCGATACCGCTCGGTACCGAGCGATGCTAGAACTCAATACTTCTTGGTACTCAGTACCGCTCGGTACTTGTCGGTATTGCTCGGTACCGAGCGATACTAGAACTCAGTACTGCTAGAACTCAGTACTGCTCGGTACTTGGTACTGCTCGGTACTGTTTGGTATCGCTCGGTACCGAGTGATACTAGAACTCAGTACCGCTCGGTACCGGAACTCGATACCAGAATTCGGTACCGCTCGGTACAGAGGGGTAGCGAATGGTACAAAGCAGTGCCGAGAAGGTAGAGAAAACTTTAAAGCAACTCTTACAATAAAAATTTTATGTGCAGCGCTCCCTTGGAGTGGTCGAACCCCGCCAGGGGGCAGCGCCCCCTTGGACCCTCGGCATAGGCCCAACATATCTATACTTTTTATTAAAAATTTCATGTTTCAAATTCATGTGGATTAATTGTGTCAATCTTTTGTACTTTTAATTAAAAACTTCATCTACTGGATAATTTATGTTTTTGTTTTTGTTGTTGTATTAGACATTTAAATATTTAATGCTTACTTTTATTTTGATATTATAAGATACAATGCTAGTAATGCTACAAATGATGTTGCTTTCAATTTTTTTTTGTCATTTCAAATATTATGCTTTGATTAATTTGTTATTTTTTATGTATGATTTATATATTATAATGCCGTATCCACGCAGTATCTGTATCCTGTATGTTTTAGAATTGCCGTGTCCCGTATCCGTATCGTGTTGTATCCATGTCGCCGTATCCGTATCGGTGCAACATAGACTAACTAGAACATCTTTGAATTGTATATCATATATACATCTATTGTCGTCTAGGGTTTTGGTGATTTGGGGGAGAAAGGTGAGGGTGTGGAATTTTAAAATTGTTAGGTAATATTATTTACATTAATGAAATAATATATATTAATTAAAATATAAAATTGATTTAATAATTTATATTAAATAAAAAAAATTTAATTTGTATAAATAAATCTTATTTTTGATTTAATTAAATTAAGTATAATTAATTTTGTTTAATTTCTTTTATAAACAATTAAGTAATGATTAATTAGGAAGTGTACAAATATAAGAAATAATAAATATGTAAAACATGTAAATTAATATAAAGAATATAAAGTATGTTATCATAGCATCATTTATTCCACTCAAATATATTAAATTACATATTTGTAATTTTATGTAATAATACAAGTAGCACCGCATAAACAACATTAGAAATGTAACTTCACACACATTTACACTCTAAAATAACCTTAATTGTAATTTTCGGTGTTAACTTTAAATGTGAATTTTGACCTTGAGATCCTTTTGGATCAATTTTCAATAGTCTAAGGATCAAATTTGAGCATTGCAATACTTTGGAACTACATTGGTCACTTACTAATAGTTGAAAGTTTATTTTGATCTTTTTCTCATTTTCAATTTTCGAAAGCAAAAAAAAAAAAAAACTTTATAATTAATGACGCGATGTATTAATTCTTAAAAACTCAGAATATGCTCGTAAGATTAAGCGACCAACTAGAGTGATAGGTGGAGGCAGTGTGAAGCAGAGAGTATGAAGGTGTGATATTGAGAAGCATTCTTGAGAAGAATCTTTTGATTGAGAATCTACTCGTATCAATAATGATAACTGATGAAAAGTTTAGAAAAATTAGTTTGTGAGGGTGAAAAAAATAACCATATAAGTTGATTAGCTTCAACCAAAGAAAATGAAGAATTAATGACCAGTGACTCAATGATTACAAGAAAATAATGAGTAGAAGCAAATGATTATGCTTAGTTATTGTGACAAATGTTGAAGCAAATCATAAAATTTCTACTAACATTTCACTCTTAGCAAGAGCCGAGGGCACAACGCTACTACGCGATGCGATGATGTGATGCAATATGATTGCTCTACTACTTGCGCTTTACTATTAAGTGATGCAAAATGCCAACACATTGATTCACTTATTGACCCCAACAACATATTAAAAAAAATAAAATAAAATCATTACATGCCTGCTGAAATCCGAAGCCCATCCTGCAAATCCTGCTCGAAAGTTGTTGTTTGCTACAATGTCGCATCCTACGACTCTGCAAATGACGCCGAAACTCTTCATTTACGCGTGCTTTGCCTCCATCATGCTCTGCTCGCGTTAATAAATCAACAACAAGAATCTTCGACTAGTTTTCTTCGGCCTTCGACGCAACGAGCAATAAGCCCTCGTTTTCCTCTGCCGCATCTTCTCGTCCCATTCGAACTCCCTGCAACCATCCTCCAGCCCGTCAAAGAACCTTCACCCGATCATCCTCGCATCTA